CATTGCTTTTCCAGCTGCTCAACTTCACTTTTTTTTTTTGCGACAAATAAAGTTTAATGTGTTTTTATTGATTCCATCACCCTCATTTTGCCTTACTGTGGTCCCTGCATAAATATGTACAACCCATTTTGACCCCTTTTTTGGCCAGCTGGAATTTTGATTGAGCATGTTTGTTGATTTATGTGCCGCCAGTTGTGGAATTTATGTGCGGTCATTGTGAAATTTAACAGAAATAATACAGTAAAAACAACAGCAGCAGCAACACGAACCAAATTAAATAAAACTGAAACTCTACCCGAAGCCAGTATGATAAACAAACTCATTTAATATGCCCAAAAAAAAGAGAAATGTTAATTTTTACTTTAAATATATGTATGATGGAGGCAAAAAATGCTTTCATAAATAATTTCACTCTGCGTGTGGCGGCCATAAGTATGCAACAGATTTTTTATTGCAGATTAAAGCGTTTGAATGCTCAATTGCGGAAAGTAATTGAAAAATGTTGGGTTCAAGTGAGCAGAAATCTGGCAACAGCTTGTATTACAAATATAAAATATTATGAAAAAGGAATGTAATACAAAAAATATTAATTAATATGGCTGGAATATTATTATTACATTTTTAATTAATTATTTGAACAATGAAAAAAGCTCAAAATGATTAAGGAAATATTTCAAATGTTACCAGGTTACTTTATAATTAATAAGAAATACTTGAATTCGTATTTTTCATTTTTAAACCAAATATTTTATATTCAATTATAAAAACTAAGTTTAAATAATACCTTCCACTTATTAATTTAATTCCATATTTAATTTAATTCATTTCGAATCCGTTTTTTTTAACCTCTTTCCACTTTAACCTTTTCCATTTATATTCAAATACAAAACTCTAAAGTTTAGGCCACTAACCAACCACTATTATATTTCAGATTTATGCTTTCCGTTTTATTCCTTACTGAATTTTGCATTGAAAATTTCATGGCTCTCGTTTTGGGGCAGCTTTGCATGCCAAACTAGAGTGAGAGTTGCGGCCATATTATGTTGCATTTAGTTGCGACACATTTGCATAACACTCATACGACCCGTGGGCCAAGGCAGCTTCGGGGGAGCCTTGGCTTAAGGGGGCAGGGGGGTAGGGTACTATAGAGCTATGTGAAATATGTAAATAATATTTCAACAATAATTGCTTTTGAAGCTAAAGTGCCCAGAGATGCGTCGTCATCGTCGTTCAACTGTCTTACCCAGCAGCCACCCCCACACAAATTCAATTTTCTCAAGGGAAAAGTGGGAGAAGTGCTTCGCTCTTCACCATCTTGGCGGCTGCTGCTGCTGCTGGCAGCTAAAAATAATTAAAATTTAAAACGGAATAAAATGCACAAGAATAACATTTACATTTATGCGTTTCAGCTGGTCTGCTGCTCTGCTTTTGCTCAACTCTCAACGGAATACAATTCAAATTCAACAAGTTGAGAACAGGAAGGAAAGCGGCAAAATGCTCTCAAGTGTGCAGATCTCAAAAGAGTCCGGGGACTGAATATACATAAACTAGTTTAAAATTAAACTAATGCTCATAGTTATTGCGTAACACAATGCCAACGCGCTGGCCAAGAGAGTGGAACCAAGGCAGGACTTGTCCTCGGGAACGGAAATGTAACTGAGCATTGAATAGCAATGAAGAAAATTTCCACTCCTTGTGATTGTAATGATGTCTTTGTACTCTCTTACCCTCCCCCCTACTCCTCTACTCCTCTTTTCCTTCAATGACAGAGAATGCACAAGAAAGTGGGCAGGACGAAGGACATCTGGCCTGGCCAGATGATTATAATCTCTTGTGTTCTCAGGCCAAACGCATTTCCACTCAAGAACTTCGACTGAATAACGCCCAGAGACAATTGGAATTGGATTTTGCCTTATTGAAGTAAGAAACAGGCCAAGCTAAAGTTATTTAAGCAACAATAATGATATGGTATAGGGTATAACTGAAATAATAGGTAGTAGAAACAAGTTTTTTAGGGGATTTTGAATCTTTACTTGAGGGACTTGAAGGAGCTTAAGAGGAGAGAATTAAATAGGCAGCTTTTTTAATTATTAAAAATTCTTTTCCTGTCTAAAAATCCTTTTTTAATTCCTAAAAATTCCTATCCTGGTTTAAAATCTTCATTTTTCTGACATTTTTTGCCTTGGCTGTGCCACAAATTATCAAAGAAAAAAAAGAAGATCACTATCATGAAACTTTCTGTACGCTCTTGCGACTTGTTTGAACCCCAAAAACACCAAACTAATTATAATTAAAGCAAAATTCCGTTTTGTTTGCCAAGTATTTTTTACCCAACATCAAGTGAGTGGAAGAATTTGGGCAAACAGAACAGAAAGCGACGCCGCCGTTGCCTCCAGGCTAACGACACTCAAATCAAAAGCGATAATCTATGGCCCTCCCGGCAGGAAAACCTTTCATAAAATACAAAACTGCTGGACATGCGGAGGGAAAACAAGAAGAGAAGTCGAGGAAGACGAGGAAAACGAAATAAGTAGCCGCACTTTATATTTATGAGCAACATTCGCATGCAGCTTTAATGGCCATCGAACTGGAACTGGAACTGGACAACAGGAGAGCGTCGACGAACGACGACGACGATGACGCCCACAAAAAATACATTTCCTTTTTGGATTATTTAACTGCCATTGACGACGTTGAATGAATGAATGAATGAATGAATGGCGGGCTGACAGGACGAAGGAGCCAAAAAGGAGCAAAGTAAATAGAAATAAAAAAGGGGAGTTGAGAGAAAGGCGCCTGGCCCCGCAGGCCACGAAAACCAAAGAAAAATGCAAGAATTTTCCCGTCAGTTAAAAGGAAAAACTACCTGAGGGGGTGGCGCTATGTGACTGCTGACTGGTTATTTATTTGCTCGTTTATTTTCAGCACTTTTTCGGCGCATTTATTAGAAGTTGTTCTGCCTGCCTTTGGGCCACCAAAAGAAAAAAAAAAAGGGGTGGAAGCGTAGCACCAAGGAAATATCTCTCTGTTCGAATCGAAAATCATTTGTAAATCAAATTGAAAAACTCCTCTGCCAAAGGAGATAGCTATGCACATAACAAGCTGTGCCTGGCTGGTGGTTGGTAAATTTGTCAAAACCAGCCAGCATCATTCGTCATGATGACGATGATGCCCCATGCCCCATGCCAGATTCAATCGCTCTTTGCAAGGATGAGGCCAGAACCCCGAGATTATATTTGAACAGCAGCGAACTTTTGAACCCCGAAGCCAGGGCAAAAAAGCCAGGAAATGAGTCGGAGCCAGATAATGCTGATTAAGTCGATGGCACACAGGCGGTGGCAGTTTCGACTTGTCAACTCGAATCCACGAAATTCTTAATTGTTCGTTATTAATGATGCTGCGCACTGATACTGCGGCTGCTGTCTGACTTTCAAATTGAAAATGACCAGGGAGCGAGCGCTCGGGCCTGACTTTGATGAATGTCCGAGTGTGAAAAACCACAGAGCGGGCTAATTGATTGCCCAAAGACTTGGCTGGGATTTCCCCAGTTGCTATCTTTCGCCAGCCATAGGACACAAATCAAAACGAGGGCGAAGCCAATTAATGCCAGAAACAAATCTGCAAAAGGGAATGGAAATCTTCATCTACAGGGAATGAGAATTAGGGAGAGAGGGTCTTAAGCTTAATGGAAGTAGAATCAGAGGAAGGGTCTTTAGGTATTGTCAATGAGAATCACGGAGAGAGGCTCTTTAGGTACTGGCCATTAGAATCATGGAGAGAGGCTTATTAGGTACTGGCAAAGAGAATGGCGGAGAGAGGATCTTTAGCTTCTGACAATGAGCATCGCGGAGAGAGGCTCATTAGGTACTGTCAATGAGAATGGCGGAGAGAGGCTCATTAGGTACTGTCAATGAGAATGGCGGAGAGAGGCTCATTAGGTACTGTCAATGAGAATCGCGGAGAGAGGCTCTTTAGCTTCTGACAATGAGAATCGCGGAGAGAGGCTCTTTAGCTTCTGGCAATGAGAATCGCGGAGAGAGGCTCCTTAGTTACTGGCAATGAGAATCGCACAGAAAAGGGAATAAAAATCGTAAAAAGATTGTATTTATCTAGCTTTTATGCTCTTATAAATATACGAAATAAAAATCGCATAGAAACCCCCTTCAGCCACAGGTACAAGAATTGCCAAGAAAAATAAAAATCAAGGAATAAGCTCTAAAATTTACATTCAGAATGTGAATTATAAAGAAAAAAGAAACTTTTTACCCAAGGAGCACATAAACACCCCCTTTAGCTATGCAGAATGAGAATCGAAGAAAGGAAAGGAGAGGAGAGGAGGCCAAGAAAACTTGAACCAAACAACAGTGAGTGCCATAAATAAATTGCTGCTTCAGCAATTTTCAATAAATGACAGAAGGCGCTTCTTGTGCCTGCCTCCTGCAATTTTCCAACGACTATTTTCTCCTGTCAAACTGAGGAACTCTACTTGACAATCAATAAGTTGAAAGGAACTGGTAGAGCAGGAGGAGGAGCGAGTTAATAGAGGTAGTTCTTGGAAGTGTAAAAACACTTGAATTTCATTTGCCTCTCCTGATGGACGCACATAAATTTTCGATTATGCGCACCATTACACACGAATTGAGGAATTCATCAAAGTGGATTTTTTTGCGAGGATAAAATTTTGCTTGGCCAGCAAGCCATGTTACGATTTGATAATGGATTTAGTGAATTAATATGCCCGGTATATAATACTTTAAAGGGGGTTTTCAGTTTTATGGGTTTTGTAATTATTTAAATTATAATCTTCATAAATTAGTGAGCTTTAACTAGACTTATTTACTATTTCCAGTGAGTAATGACTTCATCATTAGATTAAAAATATATCAAAGTAATTTCAAATCGTATTAATTTTGAATTTCCAACCTACAAGTATTATTTTTTATGAATTATATTAGTTCTAATTAAATAATTTAATATTTTAATTTCCCCCAAGTACTCACCGTGGTTGTGGCCGGTGTGGTGGCCGTGTGCGGCGTATAGGCGGCATACGCCGGTTGTGGAAGCGGCGCCGTATAACGGTATGCTGCCTGCTGGGCAACAGCGGCTGCGGCAGCGGCAGCTGCTGGGGCATAACCCTGCGGGGTCCAGCTGGCGGCGCCTCGATACGGAGCACCAGCGGCCAGAGCGGCGCCAGCGGCGGCGGCTGCGGGACTGGTCATGGCCGGGGGACGCTGAGGTAGGGCGCCCTTGAGTGCGACGGCTGAGGCGGTTAGCGGGGCGCCGGGGAAGGCGCTGCGCGGTGTTGGTGGTGCGGCGGCGGCGCTAGACGAGCTCCCCTGAAAAATTATATAAAGATAAATGTATATGTTAGAGGAGTTTAAAGAAAAATATAATGCCATAGATATTTATCGGTAATTTCGTGTTTGAAATGCACATAAAGAAATATAATAAATAATGTTAAACTTTTGAAAATAAAATATTATTTTAATGTGTTTCTCAATGAATTTAATTTCTTTATAAAAAGAGAGAATTAACATTAAAATTTTTTAGTTAAAATTATCGAATTTCAATCTTAATTGTTCACTTCCTTATAAAATAGAACAAAAATACATAGAAATGGTTATATGGTTCATGGGCTTTCAGGTGTTTTTTCTACTGTGCGGTTTTCAGTTTTGGCATAAATAATCTGGTTTGCGCGGGGGTTTTGCCTTTGCCGTAAATAAAAACCGCAGAGCGGCAGCTGTGGCTTCGCTGTAAAGCTTTTGTTTACCGCTAGAAAAACCGCCATGACATCCGTTCTAATGCACACATGGTACGGGAATGCATATGAATCATGGGGCCAGGGAGATTTTGTTTTATTGAGTGCCAGTTGCGCATTCATACCAAAACAATAACACAAAAGAGTGCGAACTAGATATATCTTTATAGTTTATGGTATTTGATATCCTGTAAAGTTGTTTTTAGAAATATATTTTTCATTAAAATCGGAGACATATTAAGTAAAGTTCTTATAAAAAGAAGGAATAATCAAACTGTTTTCATTATAAATCTAAAAAATCTTTAACAACCTTATATAATATATATTTTTGGTAGATGCAAAGGATCCTCATCAGTTTCTTAGATGGTTATCAGCCTTAAACTTGGTTCTTCTATTTAATAAATCCAAAAAAAAGTCATTCAAATTTTTCAACAATATTTCAGGCTCAGACAGAAAGTCCTCCCCGAATCAAAACCTTTATGTTTCTCTTAGGGAAAATAACGGGGTATCTTCGTAGAAACATGTCTGCTATAAATAATTTCGCCCAACTCCCAATTCAATTCTCCCCACACATGGGAGTACGACGGCCGTTGGGGGCGTGGACAGATGCAACAGTCGCTGGGTGTCCTTGCTGGCTGCCTGGTCGCTTCCTGTGTGTATATGTGTATGCTCCAGTTTTGCATTGCAAATGCATTTGTTGCTTTGGGCCATTTTTTTTTTTGTTGTTGTTTTTGTTGTGTTGGTTTATTTTGTTTTCTTCCTTTTTTATGGGCGCACTCGTTCTTTGGGGTCACTTGGCATAAACACAAATAAACCCGCCTCTGCGGTGGTGCGACACTCGTTGGCATATATACATATATAGAAAATTTATATTCCACCAAAAGTATACAAGGTGAAAAATTTGATGTTTTTTGAAATTTCCGTGAAATCTTTCATGGGCTTCACAACAAAAAAGAAAGAAAAACAAAAGAAGAGAAAGCCCAAAAACAAACGCAGCAGCAAACCGGAAACAACAGAGAGCCGCCATTTTTATTTTCGTCCTGATTGAGGTAGGAAGGAACGAACCACTCGTGTGTGTATGTGTGTATGTGTGTAGTATGTCCTGGTTTCTAAAAGGATTCCAGCTGGATTCAGAGCTTGGCAGTACGTTTGCCTTTGCCTTGCGTGCTGTCGTTGATTTTCCAATTGCAAAATATGGCAAATATTTGATTTTCAGTTTGTTTTTCACCCCATTTTACTTATATTTTTTTTCCTGCAACCCACCGCTGCCACCACACTACACATTTCGTTTTTCTAGGTTGCTTCACGTTTTCAGTTAATTTTCGTGGGCACGCAATTCGAATGCGGTTTGCTTTTTGTCGGCTGCTGCTGGCTGGCTGGCTGGGGGTGCCTCTGTAATTTGGCAGTTAAATGGCAGAGAACGAGTAATAATGGTTTGCCATTCGAATTGGAGTGGAGGATGAAGAACGACGGACGAAGGACGTGGTGTGTGTGTGTGCTCCTGCATTTCTGGCAAATAAAAATTGAAGTAAAAAAAGATTTAAGAACGCGTTTTTGGCGAGAATATGCATTGAAAATAGAGGAAGTTATGCCTGCTTTCGGGGAGTGAAAAAACCGATTGGTCTTTCTCCTTTTGAAACTGTAATTCATGGTTTTAGGGAAGTAGAATTTGTATATTTGATATACCTTATTTGTGTTCGTATATTATTTTTTCTAAAGTATCTATGCTCCAGCTCTACTTTATAGCTATAAAATATTTTAAGCTAATATACAAATAATAATCATCCCTTAACACATGTTTTTATTAAAAAATCCAATTGGTCTATAAAAGCACATCTTAATTTCGTTGTTGCCAATATTCACAACTTCAAACCCCAAAAAGTATGCTCCGAAAATGTTGTACAAATTGCCAAACAATTCGAGCATAGATTCTCCTTAAAAAAAGTTGACTTCCAAATCCATTTCACAACACATTCCCCCATTTACGGCGAAAATATCTCCGCTCTGGCACATGACAGGCAAAGGAAAAGGAGCAGGAGACTGAGCTGGAATCAACCACCGAGCCACCCAACCCATCAATTGCCTTCGGTGGGGTCATAAAATGGAATGGCCAAACATTTTAAGCGCACAAATGCTATAAATTCAAGCCGCTAAATTAGACACGTTTGGCACATTCAAGCCGCGCCGAACCAAGCCTCACATACACCTCACACACACACACACACACCTTAGAAACACCGCCCAAAAACCCCACCAAAGACCCACCGAAAATAATCATAAAGGTAATTATTTTATCGTTCGTTCAAATTCGCTTAATTTTAACGTTGACTGCAACCTAAAATTCCATCATATATATAAAAATATATATATATGTATAAAATAGCGTAGCTCGAAAAACGGAAAGCCAATGGAAAATAGGAAAAGCCTGCCTAGGTGGCTGCTGCCGCCCCTACAGCCCACATCCACCTCCTCCTTTAGCCTTAATGGGCAGCTGTGGCTGTTTTTGGCGAGAAAAAAGGAACAAGGAGCGAGAATAGGAACGAGGACGTGATTAATTACCAAATTGGGAGCCATTATCGCGTGCACTTCGAGGGTGTTTGTAAAGTTTGCCCAACTCACGCACAGACACACACGTACACAAAGAGAAATTTCATAAAAAAATATTTTAAAACATTTAAAAAATATCATTTATAGATATCAAAATATAAATTTTAAGAAAATAAGTTTATACTTTGATATTTTCTTCAAAATAATTTTTTTTTATAAATTTTAAAATAAGTATAAATATTTTCCTTCAGTGTTTTAGCAACTCCCCAAGCTAGGAATTTGGTGCTGTGTCTTTCAACATTTTTGTTGACGCTTTTGTTCTATTCTATTACCCCGAAAAATGCTCTCCGTGTTCGCTTAATTTTTATGCAAAAAACGTTTCGTTTTTGGTCCTTCGAGCCGTTATCCGGCACCGATAGTCCTTCCTGGGGGGCAAAATCAAGCGCAAAATATTAATGATAATAATTTATTACCAACTGACAGGTGGAGAGACACGCCGAGGAGTTTGGGTATTCGAGTTTTTGGAGGTGCTAGAGCTATGCCACCCATTTATATTTTTTTTTTTATTTTGTGAGGGGTGGATGGAGCTTTTCCTCTGATAAACGCTTTGTGATTAGCGGTTGTTGTTGCTGTTGGTAGCTTCGTGGCTACGCGAACGAAGCGCCTTTGTCATTTTTATTGTCATTTTTTGGGGAAAATTTATGCGCAAATTCGATTTTGCTGCGGGCGAATGGAAATACGTGAGCGGGTATAATATTATATAGCAAGGGAAAAATTGGGGGATGAGTTTTGGACCTAGACTTCCTCTTTGGACTCTTTAAGAAGGATATTAAATTTAAATTGGATTAAATGTGCCTTTGTTATTTATGTAATTAAATTTAGGAGAGAAAATCAAATGCTTATGGGTTAAGGTATATTAAAATTTATATTTTGTGAACTTTAATTTACACTTAGAACATCAGATACCTAAGTACCTCCACTGTAAACCCCACAGACAACATTTTCAAATTACTTAATGCAAAAACTAGTTGAATAACAGATGGGAAAATCCAAAAGAAAAACAAAGATGAAAAACTGCAGCTAGAAAAACTGGGACTCAACTCGCGACTCACTCTTGCTCACATGCAAAAAAAAAAGCCCCAAAACAACGAAGGTGGAAAAGCTAGCGCATGCAGCAACAAAAATATTTTTGCATTTTCCTCAAGAAATTTTTCCACACACACTGACACATACATACATACATTTACTGCGCACACACACACCCACGACTGTCTCTTTGTATAATTCATATTTTCCAACCACTTATTGTTTAAACTAAATAAAGCAAAAACTTTTTCCATAATTAAAACCGACGGCAGTCGGCAACAACAATGTCCCGGGGGAGGGTTTTTCCAACGGATGATGATGATGAAGTGGGGGCTTCGGCGGGTGTTGGGAAATAGGCGCAAGAGCAGAAAACAAAAGGATTTTCCTTCAGCTTTCAGGCGCAAAATTTTCGCTTATTTTTTCCGGACTTTTGCCTATTTTAATTCTATGCGGTAAATTAAATTTTCGTATTGTCCTGTGTCCATTTCACCCCCCTCCGACACCCCACTTGTATACCCCTTTTTCATCTCCTTTTTCTTTTGCATAAAAAATTCACGAGTGAAAGCGCTTAAGGGATGAGGCGAGTGGGGATTGGTGGAGGAGGAGGGGCTGTGGAAATGGGGTGGTCTAAAAATAGGCACCGCCAGAAGAAAAGCTGCAGCTAAAAATGAAAATGAGGCGCATGGCGAAAATGCTTTCATGTGTATGAGTATGAGTGTGCATTGCATATGATATGCAACTTTTCCTGCCTATTTTGCATATTTTTCTATGGATCCCTAAAGCCGCCTGCGCCCATTCCCTTCCCTCAAGTGAAAAAGGGAAACCTACCGACATTTTTTTTCCTTCGAAATTATTTTATTTTCACGTTTTTTTATAGGGGGGATGGGTATGAATATGCATGGCTTGCAAATGAAACAAAAAATTTGTTTGTTGGCACAACGAGTG